GGGCGTTTAAAATTGATACAATCACATTATCGATTTTAAAAAAACAATGGGATGGAAACCAATCAAAATTTTATGCTGAATAATATTTTTTCTCTTCAAAAGTTTTTTTCTTCAGAAGTTTTTCTTCTTCAGAATCCAGACTTTGACCAGACTAGACAATGTACCATACCAAATAATTATTATGTTGAAATGGATTTTGTTGTAGATATACTCATTAAACCCCTATATTTGTACTTAATTGGGCTTGATTTTCTATCTCTTAAGTTAGTCAGATTTTCAACTCAAGTTGCAGGAGAAGGCTTAGCAAAGTGCATTTCAGAAGTGTAAAATGCAATAGCTTCTCCTACGGATTTTGTATTTCCCAGAAATAAGTACAATATAAATATATACTCATTAATTAAAGTGATATATACTCACTAATTAAATGTAACAGTGAAAGATTTGCCAATATATTGGTATTGAATAAAGAGCACATTTTAGATCAAAGACACACAGGTTTCACCTGTCAATTTGGTCATTTTCCGGGGGGTACGTTTATTCCGGAGGGGTATGTTTATTAGACTTTGACGATTTGTCCGGGGGGTATGGTTTATTCCGGGGGGGTATGTTTATTAGGGACATGAGAGTAGCCCCCCCCCCCCCCCCGTGTACACTATATGACATCCAGTAGATTTCTAGCGGGGACCAATCATAGGGCTGCTGACGCGTCACCGACTAGCGGCTATTAGCACCTTGTTTCATGTAAATGCCATGAACTCAACCAGAGCGCGTAGTTGTTTCTTGTTTACATCAGTACTAAGTACTAGTACTTCCACAATCAGTTAGTAAAGTCATACCTTAGTAAAATCTACTTTGATGAACGAATCAAAACGGGACTGTGGACATTAAGTTTTACACATTCAAATGTGGCTGCACTAGTGCTAATGGAGCGACCACTACGTACGGGAAGGAACGGATCTTAGCGAAGCCGAGATTTGTGAACCAAACCCAACCCATCGAAGACGGGCCACCAAACATAAAAATGGAGGGAAATGACAGACAACAAGCCAACAAAGACAACATCACCAGACCAACAAACTTGGAAAACACCACTTCAAGCGCTAACGTTGTAAGAACTGTGGAACCCCAAACTAGTATGTTTGCGTCAGCGGAAAGGCTGTCGAAGTAACCACTACATGAAAAACTTCGGCGAAAAAGTAACATGGGTTCGTCCCAAATCTAGACGCAAGTGAGCTACAAAAGTAATAGAACCTATGCATCTTGCTTGTTGCTGTCAACTTACCCGTTAAAGATTGAACCGATACATGTACGTACTATAACTTGCCATACCCGGCCAAAGACGACTACATTACTGTTACTCTTTATTTTGTGCTGTATAATGTACTAGTATATGCGTTACATTATCTATCATTGTCATTTCTGTGAATTCCTTAAAACATCTACTGTTAGTTTGTGTAACATTACGTAGTGCTACAATCTGCGTAAAATCTTCATTACGTGTTATCTGCTAAGTCGTGTTGGTATTGAAAACTGTTTTATTCCGCCGTTCTTCTACAAACAGCCATGAAGATACTCGTTCTCAATACACATGCTGCAAAGTAAAGTAATGGCAGTCCTACGAAAATTCTGTTTGTAATGTATAAGCGCTTTATGTCGACGTACAATGGGTGTGAAATACATGTTTTCGCCCATCGTGTCCCACCGGCTCGGTGGTAATTGGCTACTTTACAAGTGAAAGAACCGCGTCCGTGGGCCTTGATAAATTATTCAAATTAATCAGCAGCCCTCTGATTGGTCTCCGCTAGAAATTTACTGGATGTCATTCAGTGACGAGCCCCCCCCCCACAAGGCTCAAAGGTCCACTTTTTATGTAAAGGTCCACTTTTTGGTCCACTTTTTATGTAAAGGTTCAAGATTTTTCTTGAAAAGATGGACTGGAATCGTACAAAAACTGCTCCTTTTGTCATTGAATAAAAATTCATCTCTGATTTTTTCCTGGAAATCCTCTCAAAAATGCACGAATTCAAATGCCATTTTAAAAGGTTCATTTTTTCAAAATTTTCCGGGGGAGCATGCCACTGGACCCCCCTAGGAACCTCGCGCCTACGGTGCTCGAGGTCCCCTCAAACAGTGGGAAGCCCCATTCAAAATCCTGGCTACGGGCATGCGTGCAACTAACTTTTTCTACCAGTGTAGCTTTATCCATTTCTTCACTGACTGACTACCCATAGAAATACCCAATAAAGAACGCAACGGTAACAAAACCAGAATCCAGGGAGTTTTTCTTCTTTTTTATAATTAATAGAAGGTTACTATCTACAAGTCAAAACAAGAATTCCGAGATTTCATACCTCCATGAAATATGGGCTTGATATGTAAATGTAAATCTCCGCATTAACATGATATATGCATCGTGATGTATGTTAACTTTTGATTAACTTACAGATGTCCCAAGTATGACATTTCCATTATTCACCATTAAGAAATCATAGAATTTTTTGCATAAATTATGCAAATTAGGTCATCATTTGCATAATTAGTATCTGCTGATGTTCTGCCTGCCATAGGTTACATACATTACATGTATGAAAGTAGTATAATGTAAAACACTGTAATCATAGAATTTCCTCATTAATTATGCAAATAAAGTCCTCATTTGCATAATTTGCATTTAATCATGTACATCTCTCTCTCAGCTACCTACACACCAAAAATGATGAAAATATGTTGTTCCTATCTGGACTTATTGACTTTTAAACATTTTGCCAGAAAGTGCCCTGCAGTTCCAGAACAAGCTGCTAGGGGGACCAAACTCACGCCACTTATTGCTGACAGGATAAGCTATCTATCACCAAAAAGTCAAGACCATAGCATGTCCAGGACAAAAGATACAAAAACCGGAAGTTCTGATGCAGTACCAAGGTCATCCACCAGGAGGCCCATATTTGACCTTGACCTTTGTCTTTCCAAGACTTACCAGCACACCAAATATCATCGCTATCCATAAAGGCGTTCTGAAGTTATGCTGACCACAAAGTTGCGGAAACACACACAGACAGACACACACACAGACAGACAGACACGCCAAAAACAATACCTCCATTTTTCATGGAGGTAACAAAACCAAACCTGACCTGGTTCTCCTTAGTCATGGTCCCCAGGTCCTCCTGAAGTCTCCTGTTCTCCCTCAGGGCCACCTCCCGACCCCGACCAACCTCACCGAGCTCCTCACTCGTCCCGTCTAGCTGCCGACGAAGACTGCGGATTTCTCTCTCTTTGTTACTGACGGTATCATTGGCACGGCTGGGGGGGGGCATAGAGGCACAACTGTTAGTTATAGTCACTACAACTGGGCAGAACTAGAAATTGTATGAATTTTGGCAAACTTTATCGAATGTGTCATATGTACAATGAATAAAAATACCAGCCTCATTCATTCATTAATATTCATTCATTGATATTCATTCATTGATATCCATTCATTGATATTCATTCATTAGTAGACTGAGCTAGAAGTTCTCTCATCATTTTGCATACTATCACATTTCCTCTTAATCTTACATTCATTTGTCTGTTCCACATTAAAAAAATATATATATACTCACTCTAGTCTTGTTTCTAGTTCTCCAACATTCAACCTAAGTTCAGAAATCAATTTCTCCTGAAAAGAAGACAGAATATTCTGGTGAGATTTGGGTTTCCATGTCACAAAAAGAACTGTAACCCTTTACATGTAGCTTTTAAATGGCTGTGACAATGTTAAAAAGCCAAAAAAGTTGACACAATCCTGTAGGTTACATTTTTGTATGAATGAATGATTTGGCAAAGTGAGCTTAAAACCAAAGTACATGTATGAGGTGATACCTTATTGGCAACATTCTCCTCCAGGCCGACCACCCTCTCAGTCTTCTCATCCACGTTCATCTGTAGGCCGTCCTTCTCCCTGTCCAGAGAACTCACCGCGCCTCTCAGCTGGGCTACCTCATCCTTCAGGTTAGTACTCACACGGGTCAGGTCATCTGGGCATGGGGGAGACATGGGTCGGGATTATGACTAGTCCCACCGGGGGGTGTCAGGTATTCCTTTTTGTCTTGTTATGTGTTATGTGATCGTCTGTCTGTTTGTGTGTGCTAATTGTGACTCCCAATACTTAATTATAGCACTTCTCGCCGTACATCTCCAATACTCCAATGAATGCTATTATTACACATTTCACCCAATGGCATGTTAACAGGTATAAAGAAGTACTTTTACTAGTTTTAGTGTCATTTTCAACAAATTATGAGTTTGTGAATTCAAACCCAGGCCCTTGAAACCATTCACTTTTTGCTGTGCATTACTGTGGACCCCAGTTGCAGAAGAATTAAATTAGGAAAAACTTGTAGTGACTGTTGTAGCACAGTAATGTACATGTAGCACTTGTTCCTCCTCCCCTTATAATTATACCTCAGTTATCTAACGTAGTGCATTTGGCTCATGTAGGGCCTGAATATGCAATAAAGTTAAATGTCTTATCTTGAAAGTTCATCTGTGTTGGTAGAAATCATTATGAAGCAAGTTTAAACTGTAATTTCCAACACAAAAAATTGGACACACACAAATTTTTGACTGTACAACTCCAGTCTTTGTCTAGGAATGAGCAATCCAGCGCTCCCGTGACGTCATGCAGATGCACCCAGTACTTCAAGCCCTGTGCATAGAACCTACCGATTCTCTCAGCCTGGGTGTGGCCTCTCTCCTCAGCCTGCTGCAGTTCTCCCACCTTCCTGGTGAGGCGCCGCTGACAGTCTTCCAGCGAGGCTTCAGTCTGCTCTGCTAACAGCCTGCACACAGTTTATCAAGGACAATATCCGTCATACTCATTTCAGGATCAGTGTTGTATATGTATAGAAAAGTTTGAATTTACTACAAAATCCAAGGACAACCAGGCCGGTGCCGCTTGTCCATACCAGCTTGTCCATACCATCCTGTGGTTTAGCAAGCAGCATTGTTTTGGCTGGAGTTTTTTTCATTCGCCCACACGCACTAGTTTGGGTGTCTTCAGAGGATGCCATCCATTAAATGAAGTCAGTGTGGCCTACATGTAAGTTACAAAGACAGGATCAGTACCTCATTTGTGTGGCGGTGGCCTTCTGTTGTGAAGCCTCCTCTTCAGTGGATGCGACCTTCATGGTGAGTGACTTGACCTGATCCTCCAGAGTGTTGATCATGTCCCTCATGGAGGCCACCCTCCCCTGCAGGTCTGCCCGCTCCTGATCTACCTGTACAGGTAACACAACACCTGTTCTACACACCTGGCTTCAGCACACCTCGGATTCGACAGTAACAAATTACAACCTGTAATGGCTCAACCTGTACCTCTTAAAGTTAAATGTGTGTACTTCTGTAATTTGATTCCTGTGATTTTAAAAAATATATTGTAAAATAAATGATGTCATATGAAATTGAATGATTCCTTAATCCTTTGAAAATTGAAAATTGGCACTGATTCAGATGGTTAAGTCTGCCGAATGCTAATAACTAAAGGGAAAAAAAGTTTATAAGGACTGCAATGAATTGGTATTCCAGGCCCCGAAATGCTATATTTTGCTCATAGGCTTAAAGCACGGTCTCTTTCCATATCCGATTTTTGTCCGGCAAGAATAAAGAATTTAAAAAAAATTTTTGTCTGTCATTAGTGATGGAAAGAGAGACTCTGGTTAGAACACTGCAATAAATTATTATAAAATCTTTGCCAGCCAATTCTATTCCTCCTCCATAAAATCTGTGACTTTACATGGGGAAAAGCAACTTACTGTGTAAAGCTGGCCCTCTTGGTCTTCTATTCTCTGTTCTAGTCGAGCTCTGTCTGTAAGTGCAGTTTCTGTAGATATCTGTAAAGTAAATATACAACATTTCCGTTATTATTCATTCACGAATTACCATGACAACCTTACATATCAGAACACACTCAGATGGCCAGGATTTTGGTCCATTAAAAAAATGTCTCTTTGAACACCATGTGTGAAGGGAGCATTTGTCCTTGGAATGATGACGAGGCCTAGAAAAAAATGTGTTTCCTGTTTCAGTCCTGAAAAAAAAGGGTCGGTAGGCAGGTATTATCTTTTTCTGTTTCTTTTTTTTTTTCATTAGACTTTGGCGATCTCTAGTGATCCAACAGTATAACTTGCAAGAGGACACTTATATTTTTAATGTCAATGTTGGAAAACCGATTGTACAACATTTCAGCACTCAGGTGTCAGATCATGGAGCTAGAGAAGATCGATCAGCTAAAAAAATGTATGTCCCTTGCAGGGTCACCTTTTTTTTTTTCTAGGTCTAAGGCAACACCAATTTAATTTCTTGGTTAATGGATTCGCCCACTTCATTTTTTTCTGATTGCAAATAAAAATAAAAATTCAGAATCAACTGCAAAATGCTCATATTTTGCCCTGAACAGTTGAAAACAGTCCTTTTCATCCTAGTTGTTACAGTTATTCCATCTTTCAATGCAGTGGTATCATTAAAAGTTCAAAATTCATTGTTTAGATTTTGAACCAGCCTGGTGTGTTGACTTCATGGCTCCTATCGTACCATTTTGGGCC